ATCTATATGTAGATGATATGCTCATACTAGGCAATAATACTACATGCATTGAAAATGTAAAGAAACTCTTATCTTATTAATTTAATATGAAAGCGATGTGTCAAGCCGACGTAATACTTGGAATCAAGATAGTGAGAAAATCGACTGGTATGTTTTAACCCAAAAACGAATATATTGAGAAAGTACTCAAAAGATTTGATTTTTTTTATTGTAAACCAGTTTTGACCCCTTATGATACTCATATTAAACTTAGCAAGAAAGAAGGTAGTCATGTTTCTCAATTAGACTATTCTAGATGTATACATATGCAATATCTTGTACTAAACCTGATGTAGACTTTGTTATAGGTAAACTGGATAGATATACCAGTAACCCTGATTATGGCCTATACTCAAGGCAACCATAGATTATTGCCTATACTATGTGGGTGAGTCCGCTATACTGGAAGGGTACAACGATGCAAATTGGATAATAGATTCTGATGAATCTAGGTCTACTAGCAGATGGATATTCAGTTGTGGTGGGGGTGTTGTTGCTCGGGGTTCTAAAAAGCAGACATGTCTTTCGAAATCCACATGGAATCGGAGATAGAAGGCAGAGTGACAAACAAATTTATTGGTAGACATACCAATTATTCAATAACCTATGACTGCTATTCTTATTAATTGTGATTGTAAAGCACCAATATACCAAGCAAACATCAAGATTTTTCCCTAAAAATCTAGATATATTCGCTTGAGGCACAATCAATTGAGACTATTACTTGAAGATGGAGTCATATCAACACTCCATGTTAGTTCTAACTAGAACTTGGCAGATCCACTAACTATAAGCCTTACAAAGGATCAAGTCTTGGAAGATGGCTAGAGGGATGGGATTGAAGGCCATATGTTTTTTGCCACGAAGTGATGAAACCCCTACTTGAAGATAAGGACACCCCAAGGCCAAGGTTCAAAGGGAAAAACAACGTATTTGTGTGTTGTATGATGCATGTATGTACCAAAAATCTTTATTTAATAGAAATTTATATTTTGACCCCATCTATAGCTCTATGGTATATTTTGTTGCAATGAAAGGAAAGTTTGAGCTTCGTTGCTAATGATTTCATTTGCATAGATGATATAGGCTTAGGCTTATGCTAGGGTGTCACATGGCATGACATCTTCCATGGATTCACCTATATAGATGTGAAAATAGAGATCACTTCCTATGATAAATAAGCATTCTCTTGAATGGTCATGAAAACCAAGATTAGTACAGGCTTTTAATGTGCAAAATCTTTTTAGAAAACCACAACTTTTGAAAGATGTGCGGTATATGCGAGGCTTATTAATAAAGAATATAATTCAAAATTCATCCATTCATTGTCCTAATAAGTGTTCTGCCCTAACACTTTGTAGAGGTTCAAGTACCTAAAAACACATTTATTTATCCATTGTCTTTTCTAATTATTTTGTGTAAATCTAACCGTTTTGAAAAAGGCGGGAGAATGTCAGTTATTAATGTTTCAAAACAATAGTATTGTGGGCTATATGAGTTTGTGTTCAAGAGGACTACAACTATATATAGTCACGAGATTATAGCGTATGCTAGACTACAGTGAATAGAATGGTCTGGGAGAACCACACCACTTTTCACAAGTTTTGCAACAGTGCTACTTCATGTGAATTTGAACAAATATGTTACCTTAGTGACACTAAAATATAAAAAAGAGTTGCGAACAGTTTTTTACAAGTGGTATCACCGTGCTCTTTTAAAATATAAAAAGCGAAATTGCATGTTAATCGTTTACGAATTATGGTTGTAACACAGAACAATGTATGTGAAACAATTTTCACACACGTTAATTTTTTCCTTTATAAATATTGGTGGTTTCTTCCTGAAAAAGAGAAAGAGTTCATAAAATAAAATTGAGTGTATAAGGTGTGTAAAAATCCTCTCTTTCCGAAAGAGTTCCAGACAAGTACCTTGAGAATACTTCTACTCTCGACAAGCAATATGAGGTAACTTCATGTTTATTTCTTAGTTTTACAGGAAGATTATTTTAGAATTTATCTGTCTAGAACATAAAATTAAAATTATAATTACATAGTTATTTCCAATCAATATTTGTGATTGTTTTTCTTACCAATTGGAAAGAAAATCAATAATTAAGTTGTGGTTTTGGACAAGTCACTAAGAGTGCAACTCAGTAAATTGAAAATGAAATATTAAATCCGGTTGTATCTTAAAGATGTATGCATCAGGATCGATTGCATCTAAAAATTGTATCGAGTCAGCAGCGTTAACACTTCAAATAAAACAAGAACTATCTCATGCCTACAGGTTTTCCTTATGAGTTGTTTTTCAGTTCTCTGAATTTCAAAAATTGTGCTACAAAAGGAATTTTGGAACGCCCCTTTAATCGACAATAAGGCCATCCCAATAATTTTTTACACCAAAATTCTATCTTATGGTAAAATTTGGAGGTGCACCTTATTTGAATTGTTTAAGGTTGCAATCTTATACAAACAACACCGATAATTAAATAATTTTCATGCATCTATAAAAGATACAAATAATGGAAAATTATGGATGGCCCCGTTGAACCAACTTCTAGGCATGCCTACCCCAAATATTTTTAAAAACTGCAACACTATTTTCAATAGTATTCATTTTTGCACCCACCTCCAAGTAAAAATACTATTTTTCAAGACAAAAATACCCTCTTATAACCATGTTTTTCTCATCCCCCCTCATTTTTTATTCCAATGAAACCATTTTAGTCCATATTGAAGCCAATATGGCACACATTGTGCAATTCATTTAAAAAAAAGGAGCTAGTCTAGCAAAACATGCGTTGGATTAGCTTCATGTCCCATTAAGGGATTTTTTATGTATATTCTATGGGGCAATTTTTTCTAAAAAATCTACTTTTTTTACTTGAGAGAAGGGTGTAAAAATAAATTTTATTGGGTTAGTGATGTGGTTTAAAAATACTGAAGTATGACACGACTAAAAACTTTATGAGGGGTTAATTTATAAAGGTCATGCAATTTGTCACACCCATCATGGATGAGATATAATTTTGAAATCATTCATTTAACAAATACCACCCCCCTCATCAATGAAAACGCAAGTGAATAGTTAAAACTAGCTAAATTTTACACACTAGAGTTCTAAATTCTAGATTCAATGAAACACATGTTCCTAAACTACTTAGAACTTTCAGATATGCCATCAAACACAATATTAGCCAGTTCCAGACATTAAATTTATAGATTCTAGGCCCTTGAACTTCTACCGTTTCATAATTCCAACATCCAATTGTCAATCACACCCTAAATAAATTTCAATTCCCTCCACCCATCCAACCCACTTATTACCCACTCAGTAGGCAGCCATGTCTTATAAGACCGTATGTTTTTTTGGGTAAGTCAGTGCAAAAAGAAGGGTAAGTCAATGGGGATTTGGGCCCCCTATCTTTTGATGAAAATGGAGTTCAAAACTTAATCATAGAGTTCACAATACTACCGCCAAGCCCTAGAACATTGTCCCGTTAGCAAAGTTCACCTCACTAAAATTATCACAATGAAAATGTGAAGGCATGAAAATAGAATGTACCCAAAAGCAACTCCAAAGCATTGGGTAGGAGAGTCAAACCACTTGTTAATCTTACTTACTTAAATCAGATGGTTACTTTGTTTAGTTTTTCAGCTCCAAAGTTTTACCAAAATGTACTCTGAATGAGCCAGGATTGCAACTGTAAGAGCTATTTCTCAAGTCTTTCATAAGGGACATAACTTCCTTTCTAATCAAAGCTAAATTTGAATTGAATTTTAGATTCCTTTCAACTACTACATAATTATGCCTTGAACCCAGTGGAAATATACCATGTTCCAAGATGATCAAAAGTTTGAGGGAGGATTACCTGTAGACACCTTTTCAACGTGGTAATGATGATATGAGTCATATTTTTATAAAAATTATGCAAAGACCACCCCAACTCCACGCCTCTTTTTTTATAAAATTGCCCACTTATCCACCATTTCCAACACCTAATAAGTGGGAAATCATGCAAGTTCTCAACAACTACTTTTAGTAAGGGCCTATCCAATACCACCAACTTTGAACATGCATGCTTCCTGTGTTTTTTAATAACGGACAGATCAACTTACTAAGTTGTCCAGCATTAGGAAAAGCCGACTAGTTATAAGCAATTATTATTATTTAAATTCTTATTATTAAATTAGCATTATAGAATTTATGTAATGTAATTAATTTTATTTATTATTACTTGAATGTATTTTATTTTTCAACAAATTTTCCTTTATCTTTTAGTTGATCTTACTTTTTTAAAGATTTAAATAAATAATATAGGTTTTGTATATATCAAATGCCTTAAGTCAGAGAAGTATTTTATAAGTTGAGTTGTTGGGTATTAGAAACACCCGACAACCTAGTAAGAGAAATCTTTTATAAGTCGAGTTGTTACGTATTAGAAACATCGGACATCAGGTTGTTGTTACGAGTACCGGACAGGCCCTTAGTAATAGACTTGTGGGATTTCCTATTTGTCCCCTGTTGGAAATGACAGCAATTTTTTTTTAGAAAAAAGCAAAGGTGGGCGTGGTCTCCACATAATTTTCGCAAAAACAGTGACCTATGCCATAATAACCCGTACGAAAGGTTAATTTTTCCAAACAGTTTAAGCTTAAGGTTACATAATAGTCCATATGTAATTTTTCCAAACGTTTAAGCTTCCCCATTTCTATATATTCATCGGATAATTATTAAAGAAGCATCTACAAAAGCATAAAGCAATCCATGTACGGAAAAAACTCTACAACATAGAAACCACAATTTACAAAAAAGAAAACCAGGGAAGAACAAAATTTCGGGTTTAATGATACAAGTATGTAGCAACAAAATTCTTGACTTGGAGTTCTTTTAAATAAAAAAATTAAATCAAAAGCAACAGCACATAAACATAAAATGTGTGTATATGTGAGAGAGAGAGAGAGCCATTCAATCTACCACCCTTTCGTGGCTGCATTGAACATTAAAAGGACCAATATAACAGCATTCCAGAACCAACAAATCTCTCCTCTATCAAAGGCAAAACAATTAAACTACCTCACTAAACTGTATCATATGATACAAATACCCTTCTAATCGGCAGTCATGCATAAATCCCATACTTAAGGGAGGAAAGATAAATCCAAAAAAAAATTTGAAACAAAGAAGAGAGTAGAAATAACCTCGAAGAGGAAAAGAGACATAATGGTTTCACCTCATGAAACCAAAACACGGTTGATAGTCCCTTGTGCCCAAGATGCGGTCTCCTTCAGCTGCACATCCTCTGATTGCATGCACTCCCCAAGGAACTCTTGGTAGAAGGAAGAACCCCTGAACAAGATTGAAGTGTTTGCACCAAGAGTATCTGCAAGATCCCCCATAACACCAACTGCAGCTTTTGTTACACCTTCATCCCTAAAAAAAATTGAATTTGACTGTAAATATCAATTCGTCGATAGAACACCAACAGAGACAACAGAACTAGATTATCTTTTCTTTTCTTTTTTACAAAAAAAAAAATGTTGGAGCTCGATTGTCCCTGAGAAACCAAAGAAAGGAAGGGCAAAAGAGACGGGTTTTCCTTGAGGAAACAACAACAAAATCATAATTGATCGTAGGTATTTTATCAACTAAGATGGGGGAAAAAATCGCACCACAGGAATGTACTAAACAGAAATAAAAAAGTAAAGTTATAAACCTACAAGTTACTACAGCCTACTCAATCAGATTGAATAGGTTGCGCCCTCATAGAAAAATAACAGACAAAAGCAGAAAACATTTATTGCTTAAAAAACCCCAACAAAGAAAGGATGGATGCACCGCGGTGAGGATTACAAAAAGAGTGAAGAACAAATAGTCATGAAGATTGACCACAAATACAAACACACATTGTCCAGGTATGGACATAAAGCACGAAATAGCAGGAGATTTAAAATCTAGAATATAAGACAACAAAAGTAATACACAGAACTGCAAAACTAAAGTATAAATAGATGGATGATAAGGAACACAAACAACAAATAAAAGATGGAAGAAGATTACCTCTCCTTGTCTTGGAAGACTGCCTCAATGAACTGCAATAGGTGACTTGCATAGGGCATCATCAGCTCGGCCTTTGAATTCTTGAAGCCCTGAAGGATTCCAGAATAAGCCTCAAATATCCCATGCCTCAGCTGGTTAGCATACTCAGCCATCTCCTCGTCCTGGTTCACCCCAGCGTGAGCACATATCTCCGAGGCCCCTTGTAGCATAGGCATGGCATAAGGCAGGTACTTCTCAAAGTGCTCACCAATAGCTAAGGCAACATCACCAAAGCAAGAGAATATCGGGGGCTTCACAGAGCGATGAAGCATGCTACTCGAGAGGTCTTTGAGAAGATGGGTCATGATACCATCACAATAAGGAAGCACTCTCTCATCTAAAGCCCTACAAATATCACCCACAACCCCAACAGATATGGCACAGACCTGATACTCCTCAAAATTTTGCAACCCCATCTCTAAATACTTGTAAAACTCAGGCATATACCTCGAGAACTCGGGACCAGTAGCATAAGCCAGAGCGCCAATGGCAAGCATTGCCTCTTCATGAACAGTGGAGCTGCGACAGGCAAAAACCCTCAAAAACAGTGTCATTAATTGATCGGAAAACTGGGTTATGCTAGGTTTCGTGGCCTCAGAGGAGCTAAGCTTTTGTATAATCACCTGAAGAACCCCACAAAGTAGGGCTTGGAGATCCCCTTGCTTTTCTCTATCCTCTAAAGAAATCACTTGAATCTCCATTGTTTGACCCAACCTATTCAATATAGCAGGTAGGAGTTGAGCAATAATGCTCCCACTTTCCAAAGCATTTGAACATCGAACAATCTCATTAATTGTCTCGTAGGCCGAAGCCCTCAGTCTAGATTCCCCTGCGTCTGAACGATCAGCAGTAATGAGAAGCGCAGAAATCATATCGCCAATGTAAGGAGAGAGAACCGAGCTAACATTTGCCACCTGCTCATACCCTTGAGCAAGGAAGTATATAGCCCCACAAACTTTCTCGGCAACATTTGGAGCATCCTTAATACTTTGCAAAAGCACAGTTACAATGTGCCCTAGATTTTCAGGGGTCACAACTGAGAATTCATTACCCTGAAAATGCAAAAATTCAAAGATCCTGCTAAGTGTCCATGCAGTTGTATCCTTAGCATGGTTATTCTTCTCTTCCTTGAGAGAATTGAGTAAGAACTGGAGAGCCGTATTCACCACAGGTGCAAGCTTCTCAGAGGACGGCCCTTCAAGAATGGACCCAAAAGCAAAGGTGGCAGCTTCTCTGCAACGCCAATCAAGTTTAACAATGTTCTCCTGAACAAATGGCATAACAGGTCCAAGTATGTCATCCCCCACTGTTTTAGCAACAAGCCCTAGGCATGTCCCACCAGCCATTGACAAGTTCCACGCTCCTTCATCCTGGTCTTGGTCTTCCTCTTGCTTTGTCAAGGTCTCAAGAAGAAGGGGCACGAGAGCAGGCAATGCCTGCTTTATAAACCCATTGAAATTCTCACCTTCCTCTTCCTGAAGTTCTATCTCTTCGTCGCATATTGAGCTCCAAAACTCAATAGCCTGAAGAGCAACCGGCTCCTCATCCTTTCGGATTGCTTTAGCAGTCAATGTGTACAAATTCTCAATATAAGGAGAGAGGATTTCATAATAAATTGAAGAGATAGAAACCAAGCATTCAAAAGCTGCTTGCCTTATCTCTATCTCTTTCGATTGAGCAGTTGCGCATACCACCTTCATAATGAAATCCCTTTCCATGTCATTCTCAAAGTTGGTTTGCGCAAAATCAAGGGCATTGTAAAGAGCTCGAGTAGCAGAGAGCCTAATCGAACCAGAGGGGTCAGAGGGGCTCATCATCCCCTGAACCACGGCCGTCAAAACTGCATTAACCTGGTCTTGCTCAAGGTCCTGAGGTGAAACCTCTTCACAAACGTAGCCTAGGGTTTCAAGGGTAGCAATCTTCAAAGCAGAAGACTTATCAGATGTTTCATGAGTCGCATTTCCAAGAAGGCGAGCGATCAATCCAGGCCATTCTTTGCGAGGAATCTCAATCCCTGCAATTTTGGCTATGACCTGAGAGGAAGTATGGCGAGCTTCTTGCACAGAGGAAGTTAGGGTTAGGGTTAGGAGGTCTTTGATCTGAGACTTGAGGTTGTGATCTAGGCCAACCCATGACTTAACAAGCTCCTCCTTTTTCGAAGCTTCCTTTGCATCCAGAGAGTTTTTTAGGATTATACCAGCTAGCCGACGAGAATCAGTGGGTTTCTCCTCATTAGAGAGCTCCCTAGATAGAGAGAGGAGAAAAGCAGGTGGATTCTGCAACTGAAACTGCTTCAAGTTTTCCTCTGCAACTTTTCGGGTGTTGCCATCGGGAGACTGAGCATTGAGAAGAATCTGTGTGATCTCCATGGCCATCTTCTGTGAAAACCCCTATCCCTAGAGGGCCCAAAGCGAAGGAAACCCTAACACAAGCCAGAAAAGGATGGAGAAAACCTTTTATCTATATGCATACAAAGAAAGTCGGGCCTGATACGGTATACGAAAAATAACCCTAGCACTTGACCGGAAAAGAAAGGAGAAAACCCTAAAGTTAAAAGCAATAAGATGAAGAAAAACCAGAAAACCCAAACCCTAGATGGTGAATTGAAGTCTGATGGTGAAAAGCCCTAACCTTGGAATACTTAAATGACAAATAAAACCTAACACCGGTCGGAAGAGGAGCAATCCCCCTAACCAGAGAGGCCAAGCCTGCATTAAGAAATCGAAGATCCACCATTAGAAAGGCATAACATGAAAAAAAAAATGCTCCTAATCACCATGAACCATTGACACCACGAATAAAAATGCCACTTAAATCACCATGAACTATTCATAGAGAGAATAAAGTCTTGATAGGTAAAACCCTAGACACTGAGCATCAGAAGAGAGACAAAAATCCATACCTTTTACCAAAGATTCAAACAAGAGGAGATCGCAAGATGCAGAGACCGATATCCGGTGCTTAAGCTCCAGAGGGAGAGAAATGGAGTGCAGTATTTGAATGGAAAGAGAGAGACAGGAATTCGGTGGAGTATTTGAATGTAGAGAGAGAAAGACTTTAGAGACGATATATGAGACAGAGTTTCATTTGAAAGTTTTGAGGAGCGGGAGAAACGCTACGGCCGCATGACGGATCTGTCCGACCGTAAGATGATGAGAGAGAGGAACCCTAATTTTCGAAATGCTTTGGGAAATGTGAGCCGTCCATCGCGCTGCGACAATCCAAAAATATCACCAAGTTTCGGCGTTTTTTCTATTTCGTGGTTGCTTAACAGCGTGGCGCTGAGTAAACCACAGTCCAGTAGACCTATATGGTACTCCTCCCTGCTGGCTACCGTCCATCTGTCCTAACGGATGGCCACAAGTGAGTTTACACGGGGAATGGCTCTTTGGGCACTGGTCTAGTTGATCTCTAATCATTTATCGATGGGAATGTACGGTGGATGCGATTTTTGGAGGCCAGTATATAGGCGCTTTTTGGACGCCAGTATATAGGCATTTGTCATGATCTATTTTTGCCGTTTCGAAGTTTGTCCATACTGAATTTCAGCTTTACATTCTTATAAAATGCTAATAAAATATCATTGACTTTAAAAAATTATTGAAGTGGTAAAATCATCATATTTGACATTGGAGTGCTTAATTTGCGGGACTCATTTCACTCAAATACCACTTTAAAAAATTGTTGGAAAATGTTTAGATTGTTGATGTCCAAGATTTAAAACCATAAACAAGCAAAGGCATTTTAAATAAAGAATGGCACAATGTCTAATCTAGACGCTTAAAAGAAAACCTAGCATCATCCACCAACCACAAAAGCATTTTTGGTTTTTTATTTTTTAGTTTTTATTTAAAAATTAAAAAAATTACGTTTTATGTGAAAAACTTTAAATGATTCGCATTAGATTTGACACAGATCTCTATAAAAAGTATCACATGAACGTAGAACTTAACTTTTCTAGATATCTTTGTTAAATTTAATGATGTTTCTTTGAGGTCGTACATACATAACTATGGGAGGGTCTCACAAGGCCATTTCCCTTATGAAAATACCTAAAACTTTATTTAATTATCACATATATCCGTTTTTTGAACTTCATATCATTAAAAAAAAAAAAAAATGAAACTACTCATTTTGGATTCCTCAAAAACCAAAATTTAAAAAAATTTTGGTTTCTCAATAACCGAATTTATTCGTTTTAAAAGAGAGAGAGAGAGAGCGAGTAAATAAGGGAAAAGTTTTTAACTTACAAGAAAGGAGGGGACCGACACAAATGCCGGGTGTTTTCTGTGATAGGAGGGAATAGAGAGAAGTTTGTTAGAGAGAAAGGATGCGAGACAGAGGAGCCTACGTTGTAGGGGTAGAGAGAGAAAAGGGGCACTGTTTCAGGTGGATCAAAGAGAGAAGAGAGGCCCTCAGGGTTGAGAGAGAGATCGTTGTTGGGGTTCTAGAGAGAGAGGGGTCAGGCTTAGAGAGTGGGTGAAGAATAACAGAGAAAGGAGAGAGGGTTCTGTACAGAGAGAGATGTTATACATAAAGAGAGAAAGGTAGCTGTGGGAAGAGCGAAGGAAATAGTGGTTTCCACTTTGAGGTGCTTTAGAGAGAGCAACTGGGTCAGAGAGAGGAGGGAAGGGTGACTTTCTCTCTCTTACAGGGTCAGAAAGAGGAGGGGAGAGTGGTTCCACTTTCTCTCTCTGCAGTCGATTCCTGCACAGGTGTGTTTGAGGTGCTCTAGAGAGAGAAACTAAGGTTAGAGAGAGGAGGGAAGGATGGTTCCACTTTTTCTCTATATTGTCGTCCCCATGCGGGTGGTCGATTGAACAAAGGTAACGACACCATAAAAGAAAATCCAAAGGTATCATACTCCAGCAGGACTGGTACTATATCTATGGCAAAATTTTTATTAGGAAAAACAAATAAATTCGATGAAAAACCAAAATTTTAATAATTTCGGTTTTTCAAAAATCGAAAATGAGTAGTTTTGTCTTTTTTAAATAAAAAACTGTTATGAAGTTAAAAAAACAGACATATGGGTAATAATGGAAAGTTTTAGGCATTTTTATAATAATAGAAAATAAAATACATATTTACATAATTTTCCCTTAAAAGTTTATATTTGTCTTGAATTTGGCGCAAAGATGCATTAATATATGGTCACTCCGTCATGATCAATCCCAAGCACGGAGAAAATATGAGGGTTGGATTACGTTGGCAACCAGCTTTGCCAAATCTATTTCATTAATTTTGATCTAATATTATATGTTCATGCTAGGGTATTCCATTGAAGTGATGTAATATAGTGGTGTGCGTCGTTGACGTAGAATAATGCTGGTTAGGAGAGGCGATTTGGACTTATAGTCTGACTAAGAGTATGGACCTTGATAAAGCAGAGTGGAAGAACAAGATTCGTGTAACTAACCCCAAATAATAAAGATAAAGCTTGTATGATGATGATGATAATGGTAAGATGCAGTCATTTCAAAAAACAAAGAGATGCATTTGCATATGGTACATCAAATAAAAACAACAAAACATATTTTGAACAAAAAATTAACCAGGATACCCGTAAATGTTCCAAGGTTATCCTAGTTAGTTTTTCTCAAAACTATTTTTATTTATTATGCCATATAAATATACATTTACACCCTAAATTTTAGATGATCGTAATTTTAAAATAAATAATTTTGTGGTCGTTCGATATGGCCTTAGTCAATTTCAATTGTTTTTTTTGGTAATTCAGTGGGGATGACGAGCCCCTACCCGTTTTTTAAATTTTTAGTGGTTTTTTAATGCACGAGGTGAGAAGATAAACCTAGACCTTGGTTGAACCTTAGACCTTAGTCAATTTCAATTGATGGTGCACCCTTTCAACAATCAAATTAGAACCTACCTTCAAATAGTGTCAAGACATGTGGTTTCAATACTATAAATCTTTATAATAGCTTTAAAATATATTTTCATCTTTATTTATAAAGTATAAAACTTCAAAAATATTGTAGATCAACCGATCTATGAAACTCGAAAATCTTAAAAATTGACGGTCAAAAAATGCGCTACAAAATACACTATTTTCAAAACTTAAAATCCATTTTTCCTCATCTGCATACATCTTGATGTCAAGATGATCAATTTGAGGATATTTGGGCATCAAAATAACCTCTTGTAGTGAAATTTTTTTGGTAGGCTTCAATTTGATTGTTTAGAGCCTTGGCCCTATATAAACTTTTCCCTTCTAAAATGGAATAAGTGGTACTTACATCAAGGCTCAAACTAAGGCGACACGAATCAAATTCCTAATTAACCATCAATTGTTTAGGATTAATTGATAATCCAATCATGAATATTTCCTATTTCGTTAAAAAAAAGTAGTGAAAAAATCAAATGTGTAAAGATGATACTATATAGGATATGATTTGCAACTATTATATAGATATATTAAATTTATTAAATAATAATTTTATAGCCTTACTAGTGTCATTAGAGTAATACTTTACAATTTTTTGTTGACACTTTCCATAAATCCAGCAACAATGTTTACTCTGTGTTGTGACAACAGAGTAAATATAGCGTAGATTTATTGGGAGCATAGAATGAAACAGCAACAATATTTTTATATTAGACATAAGAACTAATTAGCAAATAACAAGAAAGATGAACCAAGGTTTATGATTATCTTTTAAATAAAAATAAAAAATGCCCTCAATATACGACTGCGATTAATTAAAAGACAACACAAATACCTAAATATGTAAAATAATGATCCACTCAACATGCTATGTTGTATACACCAATGGAATAAAAATAAAAAATGAAATCAATCAAACTTCTTTATGCATAAAACAACAACAAAATGCTTAAGCAATGTCAAATCTTGCACTGAATTCCTAGCTACCTAAGTCTTCAATATCATTTAATCTCTCTCTTGCTCTTTATAAGGATGCTATGGGTTTAAACAAAAAAGAAAATAAAATATTTTTTATCTGGTTACTCTTCTTCTAGTTCTACTTATTGTTTTGATTACTTTTTTTAGGGAATATATTACTTCTTGTATTTTTTCATATATTTTTTTTGGGAACTCATTGGTGATATTTTTGATGGAATTTTTTGTTAAATCTAATTCTTAATTTAATCACATTGTTTAATGTGCTTATCTTTAAACTAATATTCAATAATATTAAGTTAATGAAGAAATAAAGTTATAACGAATAAGTTTTTTTGAAAAAAGATAAAATAAGGATTTATATTGGTTCTATTAAAAAAACGTGATTTTTTAAAGGTCTTTTGAAAAACATGGGGTTTTAACGAATATCAAAAACTTGGAGATTTTTTTAAAAAATCATGTTTTAAATGGGGGCAATGATTTCATGCAACGGTGGTATCATAGTATAATCTAACCACACTTCTAGAGCCTTGGCTCTATATAAACTTTTCCCTTCTAAAAGAGAATAAGTGGTACTTACATCATGGCTCAAACCAAGGCGGCACAAATCAAATTCCAAATGAACCATCAATTGTTTAGCATTAATTGATAATCCAATCATGAATATTTTCTATTTCGTTTAAAAAAAGTAGTGAAAAAATCAAATGTGTAAAGATGATACGATATAGGATATGATTTGCAACTATTATATAGATATATTAAATTTATTAAATAATAATTTTATAGCCTTACTAGTGTCATTAGAGTAATACTTTACAACTTTTTGTTGACACTTTCCATAAATCCAGCAACAATGTTTACTCTGTGTTGTGACAACAGAGTAAACATAGCGTAGATTTATTGGAAGCATAGAGTGAAACAGCAACAATATTTTTATATTAAACATAAGAACTAATTAGCAAATAACAAGAAAGATGAACCAAGGTTTATGATTATCTTTTAAATAGAAAATAAAAAATGCCCTCAATATACGATTGTGATTAATTAAAAGACAACACAAATACCTAAATATGTAAAATAATGATCCACTCAACAGGCTATGTTGTATACACCAATGGAATAAAAATAAAAAATGAAATCAATCAAACTTCTTTATGCATAAAACAACAACAAAATGCTTAAGCAATGTCAAATCTTGCACTGAATTCTTGGCTACCTAAGTCTTCAGTATCATTTAATCTCTCTCTTGCTCTTTATAAGGATGCTATGGGTTTAAACAAAAAGAAAATAAAATCTTTTTTATCTGGTT